CCTGCTGAGTCTCGCACCCCTCCACTCAGGGTTGCTGTGTGCGGTGCCGAGCGCCTCGCGAATCTGAAACGAGGGGAGGAGATGCTGCCGAATGTGCGCCTCAGCGTGTTCGAGAAAGACGGCGATGGAGGGCTGCTCCTCGAAGCAAACTGGGCACTCGAGGCTTTTGGGCTCTATGATGGTGGCCTCGTACCGTCCTCGATTCATAGGGCAATAGTTGCGCCTCATACTCGCAGCAACGTGATGGACGGCACTGGCACGATCTCTGAACACGCTCTTGCAGATCGGGCAGGCGTTCGTGATCGTGAGAACCCTTCCTATGTGGAGTTTCCCATGAGAGCCCCCTTTTGAGTTGGCCATGTGCGCCAGCAGCTGTTTTCGGCTAGGCCAACACGTCCGACATACCGTGCCATCGTCCCACACCTCCTGGCATACGTACTCCCCCTCCGTCCTGTTCACCTCCTTCCTGATCCTCTCCTCCTCATCTGTGATGTAGAAGATCGATCTAAGCTGGGTGACATCTATCTTGACGAAGTCCGTGGGGTCCTCGAATAGTATACTAAAGATGGTCTGGTTATCTAGCATCGACTGCCCTTCCTCGAGTTCCCGTAGTGATAGTATGTCTTGCTGGGCCTGCTGGGCCCAAGGGTTAGCTTTGTCGGAGACCATGCCATCGCTAAAGACCTCCCCGTCACATACCATACTTCCAAACACCGCGCTAAGAAACTGCACGTGCTCATCTTTGTTGGCAACCAATACTTGCATCCATTTAAGTCTTCTTATTCGTAATTCAAGGTGAAGACTGCCCATTCGAAATTTCTTAAGGATCTGCGTGTTAGTACCTACGATAACGTGCGTGTCGCTCTCGTTCATGCGCGCTGTGCCTTGTAGTATGGCCCTACACTTAACCAAAATGTATGATTGGTGATGCTGGAGGTCCCGCTCTTGCAGAGGCCCCCGTCCATGTACGCGCACCTCGAGGCCAGACAGGGCAGCGTTTACCAACAAGCCTTTCACTGCGTTTCTCTTTACGCCGAAGGGCGCGTCACTGTACCAGAATCCCCCCATACTGTGGAAGCTGGACTTGATGGCAGATAACCGCTTCTGCAACTCTGGCAACGGTGAAAATGTGGACGCTTGAAGCCCACCTAAGTAGCGCACGTGATGTACAACTCTCCCATCAAGTGCCGTTTCTTGCCTTGCTAGTGCCCTCGTAGCCGTGTAAGATCCCCACCCTGCAAAATAGCACACATTCTCCTCCTTCTCTAGATTCTGACTCGCTCCGATCTCCGCGAGCCCACGGTCGACAGCTTCGTTCTCGAGGGCCCCCCCGCGCTCAATCTGCTCCTGCATCGTCCCCTCTCCCGCCTCCAACACCTTGCTGCCTATGTCGTCGACGAACCCTGTGAGTCCTATCTGAGTCTTCTCGCTGTGATTCCAAGGAAGACCCGCTTCTAAGACGACGCGCCACTGGTGAGCGATGGCAGCGTCGGCGTACTTCGCAAAGGGGGGGAGGTACGTCCTGTTGAACAATCGGGTGGCACCGGTGTCCCCTGGGAAGACGCCCCGTCGAGCTTTCATCCAGAAACTTCCCGTCTCATCAGAGATGTGCACCAAGTTTTTTCGCACCCGATCTTCTATGAACTGGAGGTCCTGGGGGTCATAACAACTCTCCGCGGCCTCTAGAACCTTGTCCTGATGGAGGCTGTAGAAAGCGTTGACAGCGTCGTGACACCTGAGAAGATGAGACACTCCTCCAGCTTGCAGGCGATACGACGACACGAGCTGAACCCCCATGGCCGCCCCCCTCCTCCTCCCATGTATCCCTCCATACAGCCATTCGGGTGCAATCCATGGGGGCTTCTTACGTTTGAGCATGGCCGCGTTGTAGGTCCGACCCAGGGTGCACATCATCATGATCAGCCTCTCCCCGTCACACTCCAGTTTCCGATTGGGTTTGGGGATACGGGCAGCCTGGGCACAGTGCCAGTGGACGGGATACCGCTGAACTCGCCTGCACGTGCCCAGTATTGCCTGCAGCATACCACGCGTGCGGACTATCCTGGGCAGCTCCTGGTGAAATCCAACACCCACTGCAGCCTGCGGTCGTCTCTCATTCACTTTGCGGGGGTGGAACACTATTCGCAAGCACTCGGGAGGTGTGCTCCACGACGGCCAAGCCCTCCAAAACTTTAGTTTCCAGACTGCAACCGCCATCTCCCTCCAATCCTCCGCAGCACGATACACGGCCTCGCTGTCCTCCACCCTCTCCCGCACCTCCTCCTGCATGTCCCTCCTCGTCTCCTCTATGGTGTAAGGGATCGCACTGCAGCCTCCATGTTCGGGCTCAAGCTTCAACCTCTGCGCCCACGCCTTTGCTGACGCTGTGGATCCAGGGACGACGGCGAACTTCCTTTGTCGGGGCCCCCTTCTCTTTCCAGCGATAAGCCGAGCTAATTTCTGGACCATGTACCCGTTCTGCTCTTTGAGGGCTTGCTTCATCTCGGCACATCTTCGAGCACGGATAGCATCCCAGTATTCTTTGGCAGTGTGCCGTAAGTGCTTGCTGATGTGCCTGATGCGCTCGCTCGTGCTCTCGGTGTTGTGCTCATCGTGCTCCTCTTTGTACCTCCTCCTCTGTGCCAGTAGTGTTCGAAGCTCTCTGGTGTGTTCCTTACGATCTTCTGTGCACAGCGGGCTGTCGCGCAGGACGTCGGAGACAGCGGTGTTCAGGGTGGTAATAAACAACGTGTTCATCTCATCAATGTCCTCCCTGGCCTTGGCTGCATCAAACTCATCGGCATTTACTTCCGCCAGCTCTTCCATCCGAGAGAGGACCTCCCGTCTCTTGTACCCTACCTGCAGGCATTGATAAAGAGCTTCACGGTTCGCACGAGGAGCACGCTGCTGTTCTCTACCAGGGAGGGCGGGCCACTGCAGGACGAAGCTCGCGCATACAGGTCTGTGGTCCCTATCCTCGTGCCCGCGATGCAGCTGGAGTCGACGAGCAGACCTCCTCATTACCATCACCCGCTCCGTGGCCTGACGGAGGTCTCGTGTTGTGAGGATGTGGTCAATGTGCGACTGCCCGTTGCTGCCTACGAACGTGGGGGGGAGGTCCCAGTGAGTGCCGATGCTGCACATGCCCCATCCCTCAAGGAGAGGTCGGAGTGCAGCGCTGCTTGGGGTTAAGTGTCCTTTGCCGTGCACGCCCGAGACGTGGTCGTCACCCGTGTACGGCAGTGCCCCATTCAGATCGGTCATGATGATGGGTACTGCCTTCCTTGTCATGAGGAACGACATTACATTGCTCAACCATTCGTTCATCACCTGGATCGTCTTAAGGTATGCTGGCTTGGCTTGGTTGGTGGTCTGTTTGGGCGGGTAGTACATAACCACAAACCCATACCTTACTCCTCCCCGGTCGCACAACACCCCGTGGACGCGCCCCCATATCTGTTTGGGCGCTGTGAACACGTGCTTCACGCAGTGCAGGGGAAAACGTTCTCGTCTCAACATCAGCGCGACCCCACAACTCGTGCTCACTAGCTTGCCCTTGAGGTATCCTGCCTCCACGACTGTATACTCCCCCACCTCCTTCTTCTCCTCCCACTGCTCGCCTCCGCTCTTCTTCTGCGTGCCGATAAGCCCCACGACATCCCGCCTGCCTAACTCCTCTGCAATGTCAAGAAGGCGAGACGACGAGATGGCCGCGCACGGGTTGTATGCGACAACCCGAAGGAGACCTGCGGCGGCGAGCGGCATGGGCGGCTCACAGCCCGCCGCCAGGCCCCATCCTCTGGAGAGAGGGGAGGGCCCCGCGCTGGCTTTCGGGGTGAGGGCTCCTCTCGGTGGCTGGAGGAGATGAAATCCGAAAAGCTCGTGCCACCTGGAAAAGGAGGAGGAGGAGAAGGAGGAGGAGGAGGATGAGGAGGAGGAGGAGGGAGGAGGAGGAGGAGGAGGAGGAGGAGGGAGGAGGAGGAGGAGAAGGAGGAGGAGGAGGAAGAGAAGGAGAAGGAGGAGGAGGAGGAGGAGGAAGGAGGAGGAGGGTGTTTCTTGGCATGTGCCTCCGCTGCAGGCCCGTTTCGCTACTCGACCTCTGGCGCCTGGCCCCGGCGCACCGCCGCCCTCGGCGATGCGCCGGCGCGGTCGGCGCGGAGGACGTGAGCTCCAAATCGAGCTGCCTCGCCGATGCATCGGAGGTGTGTTCCTCGGCTCGCGCGTTGCTAATTAGATCGGCCCGCGGCCCGGACCTTTCGACTCGGCGCCCGCGCTTCCGCTCGCGCCCGCGAGGAAAAAGATGCAGCGGCGGTGCGGAGCGAGTCTCCGACTCCATCCAGGAGGCCCAGAGAGAACGCCGCCCGAGAGAACCTGCTCCTTCCCTTTTCTCGGGGATCTTCTGACCCGGGTCAATCCAGACCCGGGTCAGCGGGAAACCAAAAACTGCAATGCAGAAAAAAAACTGCAACGCAGATCTTCGCAAACCCGGGTCAGCCGATATACGCGGCCGCCTCGCGGCCACGAGCGGCTCGCTAACCCGGGTCAGCCAGAGGGGGTCTTCGCAGGATCCTGCAGGATCTGGTGCCCTGGCTGACCCCCGTTTGCATTGACCCCCGTCTCTTAGGCCCCGATGCGCCGGCGCGGTCGGCGCCGAGGACGTGAGCTCCAAAACGAGCTGCCTCGCCGATGCGTCGGCGATGCGGGGCGAGTCCTCGCCATCGCTCGGACGTCCATTCCCTGTGCTTTTTTCGGTTTCGTGCGTGGTTTTTCGCCAAATGATCAAGGATGCTCCTCGATGGTCCCCACCGAGGCAAAAACGCACACGTCCGAGCGATGCCAAGAGTCTCCGACTCCATCTATAGGAGGCCTGGAGCGAACGCCGCCCGAGAGAACCTGCTCTTCCTCCTCCCCCTCCTCCTCCTCCTCCTCCTCCTCCTCCTCCTCCTCCTGCTCCTCTGTTCCCCGGCGCCCCCCCCGCGCCGGCGGGGGCAAGGAGGGGCCTGTTCGCCCTGCCCTGCAGGGACATGGCGCTCACCTGGCGGCGGGGCGGCCGGCGGCGGCCCCTCCCTCTCTCTCTTCAGGAGCGGGAGGGGCACCTCCTCCTCCTCCTCCTCCTCCTCCTCCTCCTCCTCCTCCCTCCTTCTTCCTTCCTCCTCCATCCTTCCTTCTTCATCCTCCTCCTCCTTCCTCCTTCTCCTTCCTCCTTCCTCCTCCTCCTCCTCCTCCTTCCTCCTCTTCCTCCGCCTCCTCCCCATCCTCCTCCAACTCCGCCTGCTGCGAACATACCGCAAGACAACTACGTCGTGGCCACCGCACATGCCCAAGTACGCGCACTCAGGGGAGGGAGGGGGGCAGGTTACCGATCACCCCACGGTCTCGAGGCAGTCGTAGACTGGGGGGCAGCAGGCCTTGCAAGGGCCTGGGGGGGGAGATGGTCATCACCGACCTCGGGCGCTTGCGGGCGCATCGGCCTGGGACTCCTTCCTCTTCCTCCTCCTCCTGCTCCTCCTCCTCCTGCTCCTCTCCCTGGCCTCCTGCTCCTCCTGCTGCTCCGCCTCATCCTCTTCCTCCTCCTCCTCCTCCTCCTCCTCCTGCTCCTCCTCCTCTCCTCCTGCTCTCCTCCTCCTGCTCCTGCTCCTCCTCCTCCTCCTCCTCCTCCTCCTCCTCCTCCTCCTCCTACTCATCATTCCTCCTCCTCCTCCTCCTCCTCCTCCTCCTTCTCCTCTCCCTTCTCCTCCTCCTGCTCCGCGGAGGACTTCTCGGCAGACCCCGAACGGAACACGGCCTCGCGGCGCCCGCGCACGCGGAGGGGAGGCCCTCCTCTGCCGCAGGCGCCTCCGTTGTGAGGACCCCTGCGCCAGAAGCTCTCGGCGGCATCTCCCCTCACTCGGGCGCCAGGAGGGGGAGGAGGAGGAGGAGGAGGAGGAGGAGGAGGAGGAGGAGGAGGAGGAGGAGGAGGGGGAGGAGGAGGACTGTTCGGCTCCTCGTTGCCTGTGTTTTTAAGATGGGCGAAGAGCGCATCATGCTCCGAGGCAGGTGCGCAGTCGAGTGGTGGGAGGGGCAGGGAACGCATAGGACAAATATGGGCAATTCAGAGGACGAGGAAGACGAACAAGACAAGTGATGTGGCGAAGGAGAAGAAGACGACAAACAGATGATAAAAACGATAAGCCGTGACATCCGGAAGATGTCCTGGCGCTGGCCACGGGGCCCCCGCCGCCCTAGTCCCCCCCCCCCCTCTGCGCCGCCCCCGACTTCCTCCCCCCCCGGGACCCTGAACCGGGTCAACCTAGACCCGGGCAAGTCAGGCTTTGCAGGCTCCTGCGAAGATCCTGCAGGATCCTGGACCCTGCGCCCACACCGGGGTCCGCGCAACCCTGACTCTGCAGGATCCTGCTAAATCTGGCGCGCTGACTGACCTCCGTTTGCATTGACCCCCGTCTCTTGTGAACGTTTTCTTACTCGGCGTTTCGACATTTGGTTGAAGGGGGGGGAGGGGGGGTCTGGCTCCAGACCTCTGCTTAATGTGACTGCCTGCAACCGCCCGCGCGTCCTATGGGGAAGACTCCACCTGCTCGAAACACAGGCCCCCCAAACAGCAGCGATCTACTCCATGGGGGGGGGAGCGCGGGGGGGGCGAGGGCCCACGCCGATCGGCAAAACAGGGAATCAGAAAACGATCACCTGGAGCCCCGAGCCCCCCTCCCCCTGCTTCCCGACCACCGCGACCACCGCGCTGCAGAGCCCGGCCCCCCCCCGCGCGCGCCAGTTAACGGGCGAAGAGCGGTATAAAAATAAACGTTCTCGCTGTCGGGGGCGCCTGTCCCTGGGCGGCTGGAAAGTTTATACCCTTACGGTGGCACCGTAGTGGTATAAACTTTCCAGCCGCCCTGGGACAGGCGCCCCCGACAGCGAAAAAGTTTATGTTATACCGTTCTTCGCTCGCTGAGCCAGAGGCGACGCTCTCCGACACCCCGCGGCTGGGGCGGCTCGTGCGGCGAGGGGGCGAAGCGGCGATGGGGCGAGGCAGCGAGGCGAGGCCGGAGCAGCGAGGCGCGAGCCGCGCGAGGGGCGAGCGGCGCAAAGCGAGCGCCGCGGGGCCAGCGAGGCGATCAGAGCGAGCAGCGATCAGAGGGGCGAGGGGCGCGCGCGCGCGCGAGGGGCGAGGCGCGAGGCGCAGCGAGGGGCGCGCGCGCGCGAGGCGCGCGCGCGACGCGCGTGCGTGCGGCGGCGCCTCGCCTTCTCGGCCACGCGGGCCCAGTCGACGCGCTCCACGCCGCGCTGCCGGAGGAGCTCGTCCTCGTCGAGGGCGGAGACCTGGGGTTCGGGGAGGTCTTCGGGCTCGGGGAGGGGCGGCCTCGACCAGGCCGAAGGGGGAACAGCCTGTCCGCCGCCGAGGCACGGGCGGCCGGCGCTTCCCCGTCGTCCTCCTCGTACTCCTCGTCCTCGTCCTCGTCCTCGTCCTCGTCCTCGTCCTCGTCGTCCTCCTCCTCCTCCTCCTTGTCCTCCTCCTCCTCCTCCTCCTCCTTGTCCTCCTCCTCCTCCTCCTTCTTTTTCTTCTTCTCCTCCTCCTCCTCCTCCTCCTCCTTCCTCGTCCTCCTCCTTCGCCTCCGCCTCCGCCTCCGCCTCCGCCTCATCCTCTTCCTCCTCCTCCTCCTCCTCCTCTCTCCTCCTCCTCTCCTCCTCCTCCTCCTCCTCCCTCCTCCTCCTCCTCCTCCTCCTCCTCCTCCTCCTCATCCTCCTGCTGTCATCCTCCTCCTGCTATCCTCCTCCTCCTCCTCCTGCCATCCTCCTGGCCCTCCTCCTTCGCCTCTTCTGGGGAAGGCAACCAGTCAGGCCGGTCCCCATCCCCGGTGGGCCAGGGCTCCTCCAGCCTGCCCCCTCGAGGTGGGCACGGATCTGCGCACCCCGCCGGAAAGGGCATCCATCCCGACCTGATGGTCTCGGGGGCAAGCGTGGCTGCGGGGCCAAGGCTTCCCCCCAGGTGTTAGCGATCGAAGAACGGTATAAAATAAACTTTTTCGCCGTCGGGGACACCCCTCGGCGCCATCGTAAGGGTATAAACTTTCCAGCCGCCCTGGGGCAGGCACCCCCGACGGCGAAAAAGTTTATTTTATACCGTTCTTCGCCCGTTAAAGGTGGGGCTGGGTGGGAACAGGTCTGAAGATGCTGGGAGCAGGGGTTTGTGGGCGAACAAACATATCCGTATCAGCGGACTCGCGGGCTGGGCGCCTGAGCCGCGACCCCCCGGACACTGCGCATGTTCTCGCGGATGCCCCGCGCGGCACGTATCCATGCGACTGGGTACCCGCGGGATCGAGGAGGAGGAGGAGGAGGAGGAGGAGGAGGAGGAGGAGGAGGAAGGGGAGGAGGAAAGTGTGGAGGAGAGGAGGAGAAGGGGAGGAGGAGGGAGGAGAGGAGGAGGAGGAGGAGGAGGTATGGTATGGTATGGGTTTGCGCTAAACGCGGGGCCAAGCCCCAATTCAGAATGGCTCGGCGTCGGAGTCGCCCTCCTCAGGGCTGTCCGCGCTCCGCTGCAGGGCCGAGCGGCCGAGGTCGCGGACCAGTTCGAGCTCCCCCTCCCACAGCCCAAACGCCCTCAGAACCTCGGCCCGCCCCCCATGATCAGCCCGCCCCCATCCGCCACTGGCCCCGACGCATGGGGCCGCGGGCTGTGGCTCTGGGGGCAGGCTCAGCTCGGCCTCGGCTAGGCTCGAACGGGTCGCTGGCAGCACTCCATGCGGCTTCCCGACCTTCAGCGAGCGCACATTGGCGCGGTACGAGGGGAACTCTCCTTTCTTGATCCTCCGCAGCTGGTCCACTCCTCCAGCTTTGGCCTTCTCGGGGCACCACCCCCTTAGGCCCGAAGATAACTTGCCGTCCGAGGAAACGGTGCCACAGCGGCAACAGAAAACGACAGAAGAAACGTGGGCGGTGCGACTGAGCACATCAGCCTCCAGCAGGTTGTGGCCTTGCCACCAAAAACTGGCGGCTGCATACTCTTCCCACCCGTCGCCCACCCCGTACGACGACCCCACCTCCCCACCACGGCTGCACGCCTGGGGCACAGGCTCGGGGTCCTCTGGGGTCTCAGGGTCCTCCTCGGCAGTAGAGCCCCGAGACCTCCAGTACGCTTCCATCAAATCTTCGTGGTCCTGGCCATTGGACTCTACGTGCACACAAGCCGCCCATCGGGCGGCTTCTTGGGCTAAAAACAAAAAGCCTTGCCACAACTGAAACTGCTCCTCGCCCGCGCCGTGCTCCGCAGCACCGAGCTTCGCAAACCTATCGGCGTGGGCGTTCCCTCTGTACTCCCACTCAGTGGTAACACCCGCATCTACCTGGGCTCTGGTGCAGTGGGCCTTGGTTTTAAAAACTTGGAAGTCCCCTTCAGAGAACGCACCCCAGAACGGACTCCAGAGCTGGGCCCGTCCACAACTGCTTTGGGATCCAGCGCCCGCGCCGCCACGGAGAGTCCCAACAGTGCCTGCACAGTCGATGAAGACATCGAAGGGCGCCATAGCACAAACGCGCAGCATCGAGACGGCGTAATCCTCCGCGTCTCTAGAACTCTGCTTAGGGCACATACTACATGGGACGGGCCCGTAGGCCGCCGGAACTACACCACCAAACCTATCTACCTGCGCGATGGCCCAGCCCGCTCGGGCCAAAAACGGAGCCGAGGCCCATAAGGCCGAACCGTCTAAGAAAAGCGTGCCACTCAGGAGCCCTGACTCAGGTCTGTTGTGCCACAAGATGGTCTCTTGGGCCTCGGTCGCGACGGGGAAGACCAACTCTGGCGACGGGAACAGGCCTCTCGCAAACCTCTCCCCCTCGTCGTACCCCCATTCGCGGACCCTGCGAGCCCTCGTCCTGTGGAAGTCGTCAACCCATTCACGCCTGAGCCCTGCATGCTTCGGGCACTCGTATGCCCTGTGCCACAAGGACCCTTCGGGATCACCACATACAAGACACCTCGCTGAGCCAACAAGTCCACGGTGGTGAAGCCGACTTTGTGGCCAGTGTCCTCCAGAAACCAAGGATCTCAGCGTCCTCTGAAACCTCTTCGTCCAGGATCCCTTGGTTCGATGCAGGAGCCCCTCAAGCCCTGCCCAAAATATCGGCATATTCCACCTGGCTTTGGGCTCACGACAAAAAAGAGCTTGGCGATCAGAAGCTCGCCTGGCTCCTGCAACTGCTAGCTCCTGAACGAGCGCTGGAAGTAAAACACGAAGGTCAAGTGCTTCCTGCCGATCCGTGACCATGCACGCACCTGACCGCAAACTCCAGCCTATCCTGCGAAGACTGAGCACGGCTACTTCTGCTGGGGCTGCTGCTTGCCTCCAAGGTGATTGGACTCCTTCGAGACGGCCCAGGGCTCCTTCAAGACACCGTTCCAAAACAGGAAGCTTCGGAAACGACTCCCAGACCGCCGCCGCCCATTGGAACACAATCATCCCGATGTTCAACAGCAGCGGGTCCACTCGGACCCCTTCAGCATAGCTCAAGAGACGGAGCCCGACCGTGGAGCCCTTGGGGACCTTCCCGAGACTTCCAGCAGCTCCCAATCGAAGACGATGCAGTTGGGTCGAAGGAATCCCCATGATGCTGGACCCCCATAGAGCCGACGCCGTAGGGCCTCCACGTTGAATGAACCCCGTGTTGGCCCCCGCCTCCCTGAGCTTCTTAATCTTAATCGTCCTCCCTCTGGCCTTGTCCCACCTGTCCCGAGTGATCTGAACCCTCCGTAGGGACCCCATCACCGCGTCGGTGCCGAGGTTCCTTGCATGGTCCACCTTGCTTTCCTTCGGGAGGTCCCACAGGGGCTGCAAGGCCTCATTCAAATCCGAGTCGCTAGTCATGTACTTCGACTTTTCCGAGACGGGGAGCTCGAGCTCCGAGAAACTGGACAACAGGGACTGCACACCTGCGGCGAGCTGCGGTGCAATGAGCTGCTGCGGACCAACAATCTGCAGCGCGATATCGTCAATCACGTTTCGGATGCACAACTGCGGCCGGCCAGACTGCGCGGCCGAGAGCGGCGATAACAAAAGCAACTTCGTAAGCGTGGTAGCTGCTGAGCACCCTGCAATAACTGCCCCATTACCTTGCACCTTCCTAGATACCGCCCCTCCATAGTGCAGCATCCTATCCCCTGCATAAATCACACACAGCCCTCGCAGGAGCTTCAAATTGAAACCATGCTGGCACGCTGCACGATACAAGTCCATATGGTCGATGTGCTCATAGAACTTCTTAAGGTCCAGAAGCACCGTCGCCGCCGAGGTCCCCAGGACTTTCCCGAAATGGGCCAGCATGTTGTGGACCCATCCTGCTCGCTCGCAGGTAGACGTGGCCCCGACGCCCCAGAAGAAGGCCTGCTCGTGGGCCTGTTCCCAGGTACGGCAAATGTTTTGACGGCACTTCGACCAGATCTTGGTGAACATGCACAATAATCCTATCGGGCGTACTCCACCATCTGGCTTGTCGAGGAAGATGATATTCGTCAAAAACTCTGCAATCACACAAGGTCGATCTTCGAACGAGCGAAGGACGTCGATAACACGCAATTGATACTCCTCAGGAAGAAACAAGATCTGGCGGGGATGGAAGGAGTCCCACCCAAGACCAGCCCCTTCCCCATACGAGTTACACACACGCCTCAACTGCTCCAGAGAGATAGGTGGCAATTCTTGTCCCAACACATCCCAATGAGCTGGGTGATTTTTTGCTGAGCCTGCCTTCTTTGTGCCAGAGGGGAAGCCACTGATCTAGAAGCTGGAGGAGCGCAAGCTCACCGTTGACTGGTAAGCGGCCGTGGTCGTCTACGACACTGAACGGGACCGTCCTGTCTGCGCGAGAGACCCTGGAATAAGCATGCGCTGCCTTCCCTCCCCGCTGCACTGACGACTTAGCCCACTCCTTCCACTCCGATAGGGACTCCTTGGCGTCCAACTTTCGCAGGCCTTCTACATGCTCTCGTAACTGCCCGAACATCACTTCTAACTCATGTCTGAGCCCCATGGATATCCCTTCAACTAGGCTGACCAAAAAACGGACATTCGTGCCTTCGCCTGGCGCCTCCAGCGCCGAGATCACCCCGAACAGGGCGGCACACCATTCAAGAAAAAGACCGCGAGCTCTGGCGCCTAGCATATCTTGGCCAACTGCAGCTGCTCGACGAGCCAACGCCTAGACTCTCGGTCCCAAACCGTCTCGAGGGGAATCTTTGTGACCTTAGGCCCCCCAGCTCTTCCACACGTCCTGGCCACGCTAGCACTGTCTAGGTCGTGGAACTGCACGAGCCAGCCCTCAGC